GTATAGTCCTGTTTCATGTTAGGTACTCAATAAATAAATAAAAGTTGCCTAATTGCTTGAAGTTGGTTTGTAATTTTGATGAGCCCTTTCAGAAAAAAAAAGACTTAGGAAAAATTATCATGATCAAAAAATCAAATAATAAACCAGGCATATTGGTGCACACCTGTAATCCCAGAACTTGGGAGGCTGAGGTAGGAGGACTGTGCACATTTAAGACTAGCCTGGGCTACAAAGTGAGCTCAGAGCTGGCCTGAACTGCATAGCAAGACCCTGACTCAAAAAGACGCGCCCCCCCCCCCAAATAATACCAAGTGCTGGTGAAGACGTGAAGGAAAAAGCAACTCTTCTACATTGTTGGTGAGAAGGTAACTGTACAGCCACTATGCAAATGAGTATGGATATACTCGGAAAATAAAAACAGAAATACCATTTGTCCCAGCTGTCCCTCTTCTGAGTATCCTCTCAAAAGCGTCAAAGTAATCAATTACAGAGACACATGCATACCCATGTTAATACCAGCACGACTTATAACAGCTAAATCTTGGAAACAGCACATAGTTCATCAGCACATGAATGGATAAAGCAAATGTGGTATTTATACACAGTGGAGCACTTGTCTTCCATAAAGGAAGATAAACTTGAGGATTCATAGGCAAATGGATGTAACTTGAGAAAGTATCGTTAAGTGAAATAAGTCAGACACATAAGTTTAAATATCATATGGTTTCTCTTATATGAGAAAAAATAGAGAAAGAAAGAGACCACAAAATAGAAAATGGATCAATAAGAATTAGGGAGAGATTCAAATAACTCCCCAAAGTATCTGTCCTGTTGTTTCAAAAATATTTTAAGATAAATGCTAAATTATTCCATTTATACTACTAGTTTCTTTTTTTATTAAAAAGAAAGTTTGTTTCTTTACTTCTTTATTTCTTCACTGTAAAAGCAAATCTTTTTATGTCTATGATTCATAGTATGAGTAACCGTTTGGCCATTTTTTTAAGATCATGATACAGAGTACAGTGTAATAACCATGGCTACTCTCTTATTTTGTTATGAAATTTAGTTTTTCTGTGTAGAAATAAGAAGGTTTTTATATTTTCTTTATTAATACCTACTTGTATGATATTAAAATAAAAAGTGTTTTTAACATAGGGAAAAAAAAGTTCTAGTTTTAAGTGGCTTTTGTCTACCTTCAGAATAGTAAAGAAGAAGAACGGGAATTTTAAAAAGGGTGATTCACTTTTGCGTAGTGTATGGGTTTTCCAGCATGCTGCCCCATATATTTTCACTAGAATTGACTCTCAATTGGAGACAGGGCATTGATACAATTGTTACATGGAAATGGACGCTCCTCAGGTGCTAAGCTGACATAGCCAGAAGCCCCGCTAAGATCAATTGTTTATTTTGGATCCATAAGATACCTGTCTAATCTATCTTATAAACTAACTCACCTGTAGCAAATCTAAAATGTGGGTCCATCTGCAGAATAAAGAGTTGAACAAGACTTGGCAATTTTCAAATATCTTAGAGCAATATAATTATTTTTTTGGCACCAGGGATCAAACTCATAACCTCAGACTTGAACAGAACCAACTTTTAACCATCATATTAACCAGAACCCAAATTTAGATAGATGATAGATAGGTAGATAGATAAATAGATAGATAGATAGATAGATAGATAGACAGACAGACACACAGACAGACAGACAGATCTGAGTTTTGTCTGGTTGGAGAAGGAAGGAGTCCTTTGATTCCTGAAACAACTCTGTTAAATCCTAAAACTACTAAATAAAAGTTGATGTTACTCTAGTTTTCTTCCAGGTCTCAATAGAGAAGAACAAGAAGGAAGAGACCTATTGCAATGGAGAACATGAATGCCCATTATTGATCATTACTAGTGACCATCTCCATTGGATTTTGGATCATGCTCCGTGGATTCCAAGGTGCCACAAACCAATGGTCAGAACCCTGGCATAGTTAATTTTGGCTTTCGGTTTTGAGGAAATCTTGCTTGGATTAATGCCCTACTTCAGGGGTTGAGAACTCCTATGTTAAACTCCTTAGCCTACTATTAAAATCCTTGCTACCATCATTAACTGCTTCTAGCTTGGTTTGCCAACAATCTGCAGCTTTCCAGCAGAGCCAGCTCATCCTCTGGCCCTTTCAAATAACCTGTATGGTTACAGTGATGGGTGGTCCCCTCTTTGTGTGCCTAAAAAACTTGCTGATGTTCTTTGGAGCAGGAGGCACTTGCATGAAAGTTTGAGGGCCTCAAATGGATTTTCCATTTAAATACTCAGCTAGAGGAAAGGTTGGGAATGCCCTAGCTAATGTGCAGAAACACCTAATAATTAGAAGAAAGGAGACAGTGTTAATGAGAAGAGCCAGGGAAACAAAATGCTCTCTAAACCATAGAACACTACCCAATAAGCAATGAATAACGGTGAAGTATTTTTTTAAATGACAGCAATGGAGAGTGAATGCAGTGAAAACGTATCAGCCTCAAAACTGTATTCCCACCACCCAACCTGTTTCCAGGAGCCAGAAGTCAAAGTCAATTTCAACCACATAACTGCCTGCACTAAACCAAAAACACTAACTCTCTCATTCCCTGGCCCACAGCCACACTCCATCTCACTCATCCAAGATCCCAAAATCCTTGCAAGTTTTAAAACAGACCAAATTTGTCTGTAATTTTTTGATGTGGTTTAATTCTGTATACATTCAGTTTAAATGTCATTCAGCATACATATACTGAGGACTCGTGCAGTGCTAGACACAATGTTAGACCCTGGAGATTCACAGATTGGGAGACTCTGTCTTCCCAAAACAGGGCTAGGTTTAACGGGATAGAGTGGCATGGAGGCAGTGACATTTGTAAGGAAAGCCATCAGGGGAGAGTCCAGCGGAGCTCAGCAGATGAGACCTGTAACTTTGCAGGAGACACCCTCCGGAAAGGACTTCTAAAAGGAAGGTTAAAGAGGAGTTTTGCAGGGTCACAGATGAAGAACACCTCAGCTTCCAGGCACCTAGGCTTTCCTCTGAGAAGCAGAGGAAAACTAAGAGAAATTAAGGGGACTGAAGACCGAGCAAATTCAGGAGGGCCTCTGTGCCTTTCTGAGATTTTACCCGCAGGCAGCAGATAAACACAAAGTGTGGTGATCTGATTTGTTTGCTTTGCTTGTTTGTTTTGTTTCTAAGTATGGAGAATGGATGACACTAGAGCTCATAAGACTAGTTTATGTGGGTTTAGCCATGCCGTCAACATGACCTAGGGACACCCACATTTCCTTTCCTTCCAGAGCTCGCGTGACAGCCCCATGTCTCAGCCACCTTGCAACGGAAATGAGAAGTAACATCTGTCACTTTGAGGCTCAGGCAAAGAAAGAGCTGGCAGCACTTCTGTATTTCCCTTCCTATGCCATAGTGACCTTGGGGAGGTCTCTGTTAAAAAAGATACTGCTAAAACACTAAAAGTTAAAAAGACAGAGAAACCTGCAGAAAACGCCCCAACACCCTCCTCCTCCAGCTTACTTCTGCAAACAAAATTTTTAGGCTGAGGGTGTAGCTCAGTGGTAGAATACTTGCCCTGCATGTGCAAAGCCTTGGGTTCCATTGCTAGCACCCCAAAAATACATAAATAAACAAGCAAACAAACTTTTGCTTGCTAAGACTTTAAGTAAAAGATTTAATGTGTATTACCGAAGCAAGATCTTGTCTACTGAAGGGACAGGGGCTGGGAAACACTGGAGAATCAGATGGGAAGAAGCCAACACACAGCTGGGAGTGAAACTGGATGGATAGACTGTCACACAGGGAGTCATCTGGAAGGTCTCATGGAATAGGTAGCTGCCGTTAGAGTCCTGAAGATTGTCAAATTGAATCTGAAGAGGTCATGGAAGTCATTAGGCAAGTGGTTGAAAGGAACATCACAAATAGGGCTGCTTTAACTGGGAAATGCTTGGCTTCTCATGGGGCAGGAATCTATAAAAGGGTGGTGATAGCTCAAGTTCCATCTGATTGTTTTTCCAAGTGAGGAAGATAGAGCCTGGTTTGTTTTTTTAACAAACCATATTTTTAGTGGAGTCCATTATGAATCTTACATTTTTCAAGCTGTCTCAAAGCTTATTTTATGTTGACATATTTCAAAGCTTGCAAAATTCTTACTCAGGCCGAGAAGGGAGTTCAAAATGAAAGGGAAGTGCATAGACAAGAGCATTACTTCATAGCCCATTTAAGAAGAGAGAGCTCAAGAGAGAAATGCTCTTGAGTGGAATCCCTCACGTTATCATCCTGCTATTTTAAAACATTCCTGTTTATAGTAGGCCCTGCTTGGTGAGAATTCATTGCAAACCAAGCGGCCACCTTCTGCTCGGACTCTTCTTCAGAGTCTTCTTTAACGTAAGTCACCCATTTGGCCTGGCGCTGGACAGATCCAGAACCACAGCATGCAGCGAGCCCTGAGCCCTGAGCCCTTCTGCCTCAAGGTCATGTCACTTCGCCTACTCAGGGCAAAACAGACAGCCATAGGCTTGGCTCTCTTCATTATTTCACCTGTCAATACTTGCTCCTAATTCCTAGTGTTTGTTGAGAACCTGCCACATATAGATGATAACATACCGATTTTGGAGGGAGGCCCCTCAGCTAGTTGTTTTTGTCATTGTTCTTGCCGTTGTCGCTGTGTGTAGGACTGAACAGGACCTTGCATATGCTAGGCAACTACTCCACCACCAAGCTCCACCTCCAGCCTCAACTATTTCTTGTCAAATACCACAGTAAATTGTTAGCAGGGGTAGAACTCATCTCCTTCTTCTTCCCCTGAGTTAGCATCAATGCTGGGAACTGCCAGGGATCTGGTAACTCCTCTGAACCTCTAACAGCTCACTGGTCTGTTCATTTGGTATTTGGTCACTTTGATTTTTCACACAAAAGGAACAGGAGAGAAGAGACACTCATTCATCCCTTTGCCAGCATCCTGCTTCAGGTTTTACTTACCTGTCAACCAAGTCAATTAACAAATTTTCTTAACTAGGCTTGGTGGCCTGAATAAAGCTTACATGACAGGAGCTCTCCTTAAAACTTGATAGCTGGCAGGCTTAATTTTGTAATCTGAAATAGCAGAGGCAGTGATTTCTTTCTCTTCTTCCATTCAGCTTTCAAATATACCTCGGTGTGGTATTAACTGGAAGAGAGGTTGAGAATGGATCCCACAATAGAAAATTACTCCTCTTTAAAAGCATCAGCACAGCAAATTGAAATACTACTTTATCATCTGAAAGAGTATTGATTTATTGGTAACTATTGACATTTTCTTGAGTTCTATAAATCCATACACAGTTTTTTTACCATCACAATACAATTACACTAATTCTAATTCTACAGAAAACCTAATGTAGACAGCCAAGGCTGACTAATGGAATAATGGGTGATTAAGGGAGCCCTCCCGGAGTGCCCTATTTCTATTACATTTTATGGTTTGTTTTATGTAGGCTCTGACTTGTTTGTAGGCACTGTTTTCGAAAGTGAAAAAACATTTATTAGTGTTTGTTTGACAAAGCATTGCCTTGCAAAGTACACTGTTCTTGGATATTTCATTGAACTGGCATCATCCTGCTTTAAAACATCACAACATTAAGCAAACTTGACCTGTGGCACCAAAGCACTTGCTCCTCTCCAAACACATCTCACCACCAACACACGTGTGTCCATGTGTCACACGACAGCCTCAGCAAACTCCCTAAGGCCCCTCTGCAAAGTCACTCAGATGCTCTCCTCATACACCAAAATTTCAAAATCTACTGGTTTTTGTGGGCAAAACTTTTGCATTCTTATTTCCTGCTCCATGAGCAAAGTGTTTTCTCTGGAATTAGCCGCCCAAAGTGAGTATCAAAGGATGGAATTAGTCTTCCTAATGTCTTGTGGGGGTGTGTTAAAAATGGCACAAGATCTCGGAGATTCCCTGGACCAGAATTTATGTGCAAACATACTCATTACAACACTACAACTGCAAAGGAAAGGGGAAAAAAACAAGGTGCTCAAAATTGGGAGACAGTGTGTAAGTCACATTATAATTCACTGTGATGAAATAGGATATAGCTTTAAAATTCGGTCAAAAAAGAATTTATATGGAAGGGGGAAATAGGCATTACATAGTAAATGTTAAATATCAGTATTCAAAAATCATATGTAAGGATGTCTGTACTATGTACAGAAACAGAAAAACAACTTAAAAGTTCAGGGCTAAGACGTGTGTCATTGTGATGAGGTGGCAGCAGGGTGGAAACCAAAGTTGGAAATAATTATTCTGTGCTTTCTCTTTTTTATATTTTATAAATTCTCCACAGGTTGCATCATTCTTTTCATATTTTGTTGCTGCTGCTGCTGTTGTTGTTATTGTTGAAATATTAAAGCAAAGGAATAAAACAGAATCTGCCATCCTGGAAGTCAGCCTAGCCGTCATTATCACGACTCAATGTCTAGTTTGTTTTAAGACTGTTTGTGGTCCTCTGATTGCACAGTCACTTCAGCATTAGAGCAAAGATGAAATTTGGAGGAATTTGAGACATAAAATATTTTAACTTGTGCTTTGCTATTTTGAGTTTTTGTTGTGTTGTGCTGCTTGGTTTTTTGTTTGGTTTGGTTTGGTTTGGTTTGGTTTGGTTTGGTTTGGTTTGGTTTGGACATGAGCTTTTGCATTGTTCCCCAGGCTGATCTCAAACTCCTGAGTTCAACCAATCCTCTTGCCTCAGTCTTCAGATGGCTTGGCCCACAGGCACGCACCACCACATTGCCTCTACTGTTTCACAGTACATGGCAGGGCTGGGGGTATAACTCAGTAGTACAGTGCATCTGTAGCATGCCTGAGGCCCTAGGTTTAATCACCAATAAAAAGTAGAAATAGTAATATAATAAAATAAAGTACTGTACATGGGGAGTGAGGAAAGAACAATCTAACAGGCAATATCACAAAGAGCAAGCTGTAAGTATGCCACAGGACCCTTGTGTGATATCAGGCCAAAAGTGGCAGGTTTTGAAATCACAGCTAAAACCTAAATGTCTACGGAAAATATCCTGAAAGTGCACATGCTTCACTTATGCACCCCCAGTGGTAAAGACCTTTTAAAGTGTATCTGATTGAGGGATTTCCAAAGCTGGGCCCTCTTACCGCTTACAGCGATCAAATAAAGCTTGACAAACTCCCATACTATAAATAACCCTTCCTGCCCTTTCCCTATTAAGATAGGCAAATAGACACTGGATAGCAGAGAACATGAGCTTTGCCAGGCCTCTCAGAGCAGTCGGAAGGCCCACAGCAATGAGAAGGAAGCATTTGAGTCCCCAGCCTCTCTCCATATTCTCCAAGAGAGGTGAGAATTTCCCAAGAGCAAAAAGAATCAGTGAGTTGAAGCGAATGATGACTTAAAAAAAAAAAGAAATATCCCATTCTTAAATCTGCTGTACCTTGGGATCATTAGATAATTGTTTCACAAAAGGAAAAAAGAAAGAAAGTAAAACATGGAAAAGAGGCCCCTTGTGGTTACAAAAATCACATAGCTATGTTATGAGGACCAATAAAACTATTAGCTATTGGCCCAAAGCCAAGAATCCATTAATGACAGACTGGTATCTCTCCAGGAATGTAAAATGTTTTACTAAATAAACAGTAGAGCAGGAAACATTCAACTTCTGTCATTATGTAAAACTCAACTGTGATTCTATCCTGAAGTGGAGCAGCAAGCAGGCGGATCAAAAGGACCAAAAGAAGGAGAAACACCAGCAGCAGGTCTTCGGTGCCAAGAGGAACCAAAATTAAGAGTCCACAGCGCAGCCTACAAAGCCTGGTACAGAAGGCGTAATACTATTGTTAGTGAGCCTGGTCGTGGCATTTAAAAACCAAATGAAAGGAAACACTTGTTTAGAAGGAAGTAGAGTTAGCCACCTGGGATAATAGTAGGTAATTAAACTATAATGACTGATTTTTACAGCTTTTCAAGGCCATACAAACAAAAGATTAAGGCTAATTGAAATATGAGATTAAAATAATGATTACTATTTGTTACTTGAGGCTAACTACAGCTTTCTCACACATACATACATATTTCTATGGTGTAATGAAATCTCATGGAAAAATTACCAATAAATATGCTACAAATTCCCTGAAAGCAAAAAGTAAGAATAAAGCAGTAGAATTCCTTACTACTCTTAAAACATTTAGGACTTTGTATGTGTCCCGTAACAGTCAGGGTTTCTTACATGAATTTTGCGCTTCTGTAAATTTCAGGGAATAGTTTTCAATCTGATTATGTTTAAATCAGCATTAGTTTTTACCAGGATTGAAAACTTTATACAACTGAAAAATCAGTTAGGGAGGTTTACGGAGGTTACACAAATTTCAGTGTCATTCAAAGATTTTAAGACACACAGGGTAGAGTCCAAACAAGTTGTTCAGACTAAAACAACCACATTTAACTAAAGAATCCACAGTTTAGTGTTTCCCTCTACAGTCTCTGCCTCTCACTTGACATGAATCTACTGTACAACTTCTATACAATCTGGAAGGCTTTCATTCTGGGGGAGCCAAGACAAATGTAAACAAGAAAGAAGGAATGAGAACTGAATCATACTCAGAAAAAAACACTAAGAGGCCATGATGAGCTGGTCCAGGATTCTCTATTTGTAAGACCAGATCATTTTCAGGGTATAGTTTGTTCACTGTCAGACGAAAGCTCAGTCATATGTTGGGTGGCTTAGGAAAAACAGTGAAGCTAGGGACAGCCTTCAAACTTAAGGCTATAAAAAGAATCAGAAAACAGTCAAAGACACAGTTCTTGCTGCTACCTGACAGCCAAGTTCAGCCCACTGAGAAGCTCGTCATTCCAAGGGTAGGTCTTTAGAATGCCAGGGTCAACTATGGAAAGTATGACCCTTGACCCTTCCAATATTACTACCACCTGTAGAAATGTAGACCTAGAATGTGTCTGTAGGATGACGCCAGCCAATGTCACCATAGTGACGCAAACCCTTCTAATACTGTCCTTATCAGCATTATAAAGGCCAGTTTTCATTTTTTTCAATATAGAAAGAAATGAAGCAGGAAAAGTCCATCTTCCAAAATCCACTTACTAAGAACACCTTTCCTGCACATCATTAATTTAGACAAGCACTTTAATTAACAGAAAGAATAAGTTTTGAAATAAATGAAAAACCTGCAATGGCAGAATTTTAAAATGTACCTTTATTTCAATACACAAACTGAATAAATAAACAATGTTAAATAAATCTGTTAGAAGTCAGAGAACTTCTATAAATGCATAGAGCTATAATCAAAATTTCTGTTATTTGGGATCCTATAGTGTTTTGTTTTGTTTTGTTTTTGCTGCAATCTACCTTTAAAAGAATGAATCAACTCCCAAGGCCTTAAATCTGCACTAGTTGGAAGTTGTTGAAATATTTTTACAACTTCCATATACCAATATCGCAATTATTAACATCTACTTTCCTGTGCAGAATAATCATTATTGTTTAGAATGACATCCTTGAGAAATTAAAATATCCTCAAATTGAATTCAATGTCCATAAACAAAAAATTGGAAAATATTGTTATAACATTTAACAACAAAAATGTCTTAGTGAGATAGTTAAATGATCCAATCAAGACTTTGCTTCCATACCAATATCCTCAAAAACAGTTTGTTCTCTGCAATTTGATTTACACTATTATTTGCTTAGCAAACCCCCCTTTCAATAGCAAGGCCATATTTAAACTCAGTTCAGATGAATTATCATAGTGTCTAAATTAGGAAACTCTTAATTGATAGGCTTTGACTATATTCAGAAAACTCTAGTCCACAATCCATTTTCACAGAAAAACTCTGCTACCTATTACTGGTAACAGTCATAACTAATTTGACCCTAAATATGAGGGAGACATGTTACCAGTTACTATAACACCAGATGATAATAATCCCCATAGCATGAATCTATAAGAATGATTTTTTTAAAAGTAAACTCAGAAAGGGTGGAAATATTTTTGGCACACTGTAGCAGTAAAGAATTGGCAGTAATTAGTAAAAGAGGAAAGATTAGGCTAGGTCTGGGAAATCTCAGGACAAAAGTGCCTGAGATTAGAAATAAAAGCAGCTTTGTTATTTGAAACAACAAAAAGACATAAAGTAGTGACCT